TGGTATGGACAACTTTTCTGAGGAAAATAAAATATTATAGTAGCCATTGTTCATTTCCTGTTATCTGATTTTGAAGTCCTGTAATGCTTTCATTCTTTTGATTGGCTTTATACTATTTTGTTATGTTTGATATTATTGTGTGTGAAGGTACGGTCAACTATTTCAAAGAAAACAAGAAACATTATGGTAGCCACTTTTGATATCCTGTTGTCTTTTTTTTTTAAAGAGGATAAAACTAAACAGAACAAAGCAGATCAGAAGAAAACAATGTAAGTGACACAGATTCCAAAGCAAGACAATAGGAGATCTACAGTGGCTACCATAATGTCTCTCGTTTTCTTCTAAATAGTTTTCCATATCTTCACACACAATGAATTCATACAAAACGAAATAGTATAAAACTGATCAGAGCAGAGTGATGAAGACATTATAGGCCTTCAAAACCAGACAATAGGAAAATCAACAATGGCCAACATAATGTCTCTAGTTCTCTTCAAAATACTGCCCATACCTTCATGTATGTTGAAATTAAATAATACAAAACAGACTAAAACCACTCTAAATAAAGAATAAGAGCATTACTGATTTTCACAGCACGATGATAGGAAATCAGAAATGGATACTATAATGCCTCTTTTTCTTCAAAGGAGCTGTTCATTTAATCATGCATAACATAATCGATTCTCATAAACTGTTACAAGTTGTATGCATGTATAAGCCTCTACATGTATACCTATCCTTTCTGTATGAGAGGGAAAAACAAAACAGATTACTAGAAAAACACGAAATAAAAAAGACAAATTAACAATAGCAAAGAGCCCAAAACAATGATGATGTAGGCCTTCAAAACAAGGTGGTAGCAGAGTAACTAGGGTTGATATTATACATAACGGTCTTCAAGAGTTCCTCAGATCACCAGACACTAACATGCAAAATTGTTCCAATTCTATGAATGTTACCTGTTTGGTTCCAAGAACTTGTAGAATTTGTAGTACAATCATCTTAGCTATCCTAAGTGTGTTTATGCAATTTTAGATACTTTTTCTTTTCCCTTCTTTTTTTTTTCTTCCTTTTACCTAAGATACTATTTTTCCCCCTTCGAACAGATTCTTATCCTTTCACTGTATTTATTGAGAATTTTATATTTTATGTACTCTTACCATTTCTTACACTAGGAAGATAATACAGTATTTACACATGTGAGTTTGTTATTTCACTTATTACCATAGTCTCAAGTTACATTCATTTATTTATAACTATCTCAGTGTGATCTGTTGTCTTGTTTTGAAGCCCTGTATTGCTTGCATTGTTCTGTTCTGATTTGCTTTGTTCTGTTTTGTTTTGATTTCTTGTTTTATTCTCTTTAAAATAAAACTTTTTTTAAAAGTTAAAAAAAAAATTCCTAAAAATTCAACACCCAAAGTCAGGCAGGACAGCACAGGCCTGTTATCTCAGCATTCAGGAGGCTGAGACAGGAGGATCACCATTATTATGAGGCAGTCTGGGATATATAGTCAGTTTGAGGCCAGTCTAAACTGCACAGTGGGACCCTCTCTTTCAAAACAAAACAAAAAAAAAGAAAGAGAGAGACAAAACAAAACAAATAATTTAACCTCCAATTATGAAAAATAGGAAAAGTGAGGGACATTCTTGCTCTGGTTAAGAGTATTTACAAAAACCTCCAGCTAACCTGGTACTTAATGGTGAAAGACTAGGTGCTTTCCCTATAAGATTAAAGACCACCCAACAGGGTCCTGGAAGTTACAGATAAAGTAAGAAGAAAATCTTTAGAATTATAGTTGGGCCAAACTTCTTTAACTTCACATAAAAAGCATAATCTAGAAAAATAGTAATACATACTTCACAAAAACTAAAACTTTTGCTCTACAAAATGCTGAAGAGAATGTAAAGACAAGCTACAAAAGAAGATCCTTGCAAACCCACATTCCAGCTAAGGACTAGAATTGAAGATGCAGTAAAACTCAGCATTTAAAAACAATCCACCAGGGATAGTGGTGCACATCTGCAAACTCAGAACTTGGGAGGTTGAAGCAGGAGGCTGCTGTGAGTTTGAATTTGAGGCAAGCCTGCACCACAAAGCAAGACACTTCCTTAAAAAAAAAAATTAGGAAATGGCCCAAATCACAAACACATATTTCACGGAACAGGATACATCTTAATGACAGCTAAACAAATTAAAAAAATGCTCAATATCATTAGCTAGCAGGAAAAAACAAAATAATACCAACATTAAGATATTAGTTCAAGGCCAGGGATACAGCTCAGCAGTACAGTGCCTGCCTGGCAAGTGCAAAGTCATGAGTTCGATCCCCACTACCAAAAAAATAAAAAAATAAAAAAATACCAGTTCACACTTAACAGAAGGTTCAATTTGGACATGACTCTCCCCATACCCAACCTGTCTGTCAGCACTGGGATACCCTTGGGGGAAAAAAGGATGTCATAGAAGAGGGGAAAATGGTAAAATGGAATCTTCCAAAATACTCAGACATTTGACTACATCCAAGCATTCACACCAGAAGCCTCAAGAACTTTGTTCACTGAAGCACAAAACACAAACATGGAGCACTGATGTTTATTAAGATCTTTCTGCCTAATGTTCCTTGCCTTCTTTCAAATCCTGTAAAAATGCCAACTTCTCTGTTCCCTACAGATGGGCTTCTCCTCCATCTGCCTGCACCCAGGCACAATCAATTCTACACCACGTTGCCTTTACACAGCCTGATTCTAGGCTGGTCTCTGCCTAGCACTGTTCTTTCCACCTCTAATGATAGTTTGCAAAGAAACCCTGGGACAAAATCAAATGTTAGCAAGGGTGCTAGCAAACTGATCTCTCATATTTTACTGCTAGGGATACAGAATGAATCAGCCAATTAGGAAAACATTTTAAACTTTAAAATCTTAAAACTAACCATACAACCCCCATAAAACCCAGCAACTTCACTTGTGGCCATTTGCCTGAGAGAAATGAAAACCTAAATTCACACAAAACCTGTACAAGAACATTGGCAGCACTTTATTTATAGTAGCCAAAAAGTAGAAATGGCCTTGATGTCCTATAGGCAGATGGTTAAACACACAGTTCATCAATAAGAATGGTCAATGAGTTAGAAAGACAGCAAGTCCACATTGGTCTTGGAGTTCACACTGAGTAAAAACACCAGCCCCAAAGGTCACAGAGCATGATTCTACTTCGTGACATTCTGGACTGAGTAGTTATCAGACAAACACTTACCAGGGCACAAAGCAAAGTGTGACTATAAAGGGCAAGAGCCTGTGCTGAGTTCAGTATCTGGTTGTATTACTACATTGTATTGCTTTACAAAGTGTTACTTGAGGACCTGGGTAAAGTGTATATGACCTTTCTGGATTACTTATCACAACTGCATGTGGTCTGCAATGGTCTCTAAATAAAACATTTAATAAAAAAAAAAAACCTGAGTTGGAGTAAATGATCTCTATGAGTACCTTTCAGCTCTAAGACTGTATTTTCTAGAAGAGACAAAATAAGAGGTAAAGGAATGCAAACAGGGGAAGGGGCCCAGAGCGATGGGGGTGGAAAGACAGGAGATAGCAGAGGTGAGCAGGAGAACAGCCTACCAGAGGGTGAAATGATAGACACTCTCCAATAGCAGCTTCTCAGAGCAATCATGCTGCCAAGGATTGCCTTCGGTAGTCATAATTATATTAGTCTTTCTGTCACGTCAGAAGTTATAAAGTTTAAATGATCAAGATAAAATTAGCCTCCCATTAATCCATTAAGCATTGATCAAGTACAGCATTCATTAATCTGCCTTTACTTCTAGACCATGCTGAGACTGGTTAACACCTGGTTGCTAGCAATGCAATAGCAACGCAATTTTGCAGACATATAGTAACACATTTTTGGAGACTCTTTATAAGAATACAAGTGTTAAATTTTACTTCTCATCATATCCTCAACTTTTCTCAGGGACAGCAAGCATTTTGAATGTACAAGAGAAGGCAAGAATTTGAAAGTCATTGTGAGCAGCTACAACAGTTATGGATGAATGCAAAAATATAATGCCAAAGCCTCAAAGCCCAAAGAATCACAGTAGTGTGATTTTAAGCCTATCAGTGCACTCCTTGAGTCGAAGTTCAGCATCCAGCCACAAGCAGCAGTAGCCTCTCCCTTTGTTGAGTAGTGCTCTGTGTGCCTTTATAAAGATGGCACCCACAGGGCTGAATCCAGATGGCTACAGGCACCCACAGATCCGTAAAAGTATGAAAAATACCCTACTCCTGTCTGCCTCTACCTCCTCTACAACTTGTTGAGCCAGGCAATCCAGGCACACAAAAGGATCACTACACATGGAGGATGGTTTTTGTTTTTCTTCCATTCAATTTTCCAGTTTCTCAGTCTTCAATGCTACCAGAACCACAGCAGATAAGAAACATTTTACAAACTCCTCCATATCGAAGGACTAATCATGGGTAGGGGCACAAGTCACAGGTCAGGGTGTTGTACATTTGCTTGAGTGGCAAGGACCCCAGCAGTGCCAGGTCAATTCACATGAGGGATTTCTGGCCAGGCTAGGCAGAGCTTTCATGGGCAAAGTCTCAAAAGGCTGACTTCCCAAACACTAAAGACACAACAGGTTTTCTTTAGGCCTGTTTTTCTTAGCAGTCCTGAAAAGGCCAACCAAGCCAAGGGAATCTAGGGCCCTAACGCCATGGAGGGAAGCAAACAGGTACTAAAACCCATTCCACACAAAATGCTTCTACTTTTGTCTTAATTATCACACTGTGCTGAGGTACATATAATTAGTGATTCTCAGGAACAGGTAGACTAAAGCTCAGGAAAATATATGCCCAAGGGTTACTGTGTGGGATAAAACTGGGATGTACCTGTCCAGTTCCAAAATCATATTCTTCAGGTGCCAATCCCCTGCTGTTTCAAGCAGGTTTCCACACCTTCAAGCCCAGAAAATACAAATGTCAGAAAGACTAAGACTTACGAAAAGCTGCCAATCCCAGCATTGGCACCAACAGGGCATAATTCCACCTGCTTCCATCACCCCCATCAGCTCTGGAATTAGGCCGGATGTTCCAATTTGGAGGGTCATTTAAGTTATTCATTGAGATATACCCTGAAAAAAAGGAAAAAATATTAATTGTATGAAGAGGATAAAATAGAGCCATCATGATTACATCATTTATTTTAGTTGTTTGGATCATCTCTTATTAAAAATTTTTTTTCAGTTCTGCCTGTATGCCACACAATAATGAATCCTAAGCATTTGCAAGGAAAAAACCTCACCAGTGGGGGTAGGGCATGTCTCAAATAAATAATCCACAGGCAGAATGTGTTAAGCTCTCTACTGTGTTTAAACCGATATAGTTGCTGTCATGGTTATTTTTTTCTCCTTGTTTGGTACCAGGAATTGAACTCAGGGCCTTTCATGATTGCTAGGCAGGTACTGCAGTGCTGAGATACATCCCTGGCCCTGCAGTAGTTACTTTCGTGTGTCAACGTGACTGATCCATGGTATGCTCAGGCACTTGGTTGAGCATCATTCTAGATGGGTCTGAGAGGTGTTTCTAGATGAAATTACTATTTGAATTCTCATACTCATTTCTTGGAATAAATCCAGTGCTCACTCACCCCAATATCTGGGAGGTGAGGATCACTGTGAAGCTAGCCTGGGCTACAGAGCCAGTTCAAGCCACCCTGAATTATACAATAAGACTATGTCTCAAAAAAACACAAACATGACCTCCCCTTTATGTATGCCCCTTTCCATGACTGTGTGCACATATAACCCATAACATCATTTTGGCTAAAGATGGACACATAGGCTGATGGTTCCACAAGATCATATGGCCTACAGACAGATGTAATAGTAAGCCCAGCCTGGGTAACTCAGCAAGATCCTATCTCAAAAGCTTTTAGAAAGGGTTGTAGTGTAGCTCAGTGAGAAAGCTCTGAGTTTAATCCCCACTACTAAAAAAAATAAAAATAAAAAGCAGAGGGTAGAGGGAGATCCTATGATCTGCTAACACAGCCAACTCAGAATGCCTAAGCATACTCTATGGTGTCCACGCAGGGTCAAAATCCCCATCAACACATTCCCCAGATGGTATTTGTGTTGTTAAGCAAGAAATCATTGTTTATATATGTCTCCTACTGGTTTTTTTTTCCCTCTGGAGTACTCTAACATGGCTAAAAGTGAGTTCACACTGGACATACTGCTTCACAAGAGCTGGATTTCAAAGAGCAAGCAGTATTCTAACATGGCAAAGTGTCAGAGTAAAGCATTTTCTAAGCAGAAACAGGAAGGCAGGAAGGACAGAGGCTCTGTATGCAGGAAAGGTAGGGATGGTCCTGAAGCCTTCGTAGGCCCGCTGACAAGGAAGTCCTAAACAGGTTCACAGAAGTCTTTGTATCAGACCCAGAGTACAACCTCCAAACCCAGCTGAAAACTAAAGTTACTACAAATCTACTACTTCTCTAAGTATCCATGCTGAGTGTTTCCAGAAAGGAAAGTCACCACAGCTTTTGTCTTGCTAGTATGTAGCCACCATAAATATCCTGAGCATAAAACAGTTAACCATAATGCATGCAATAAAAAAATACAAGTTTTTAAAAAGTGGTTTCTAAATACTTAACAACTAAACATATAACAGTATGATAGGTACTAAAGATATACTCAAATATATGGCTTAGAACATAATATTAGGGTGTTTGTGGTAACCACAGAATCTTAAAAATTAGGTAATACCTAATTTAGAAAGCACTAAACCTGCTGAACTTTTAAAAAAATCTGGGAATAGCCAGGGATATAGCTTAGCACAGTGCCTGCCTGGCAAGCATGAGATCCTGAGCTTGACGCCTGGCACCAAAAATAAAAGTCTGAGAAGTAGAGTTATCCTCTGTATTCATGGGGGATTGACCCAAGAATGCCCAATACCAAAATCTTACATACTCAAGACTCTTACATGAAATGGTATAGTATTTGCATGTATTCTACCCATATACTGTTATTAGTGTTTGTGATACATAATGATTATATGCATCTATCACATCTTGATTTTTCCCTCTCTGCTTTCCCCATCTCCATATCCTCTTCCCATCGTGTCTACTTCCATTTCCTATCATCTTTTATTTTGCTCTTTAAATTACACCTACCCAAATACTTTAAATCATCTCTCTACCACTAAATACTTGATACAATATAAATGCTATGCAAATAGTTGTGCTATATTGTTAAAAGACTAGCAAGAGGAAAAACTCTGTACTTGATCAGTTCGGACATCATTTTTTTCCCCAAAATATTTCTGATCTTCAGTTAGTTGAACTTAGTGATGCAGGGTCCACCAATAAAGAGGTCCACCCCTCTATTGCGTTTGTTTCTTCAGCCAATCAAGGCCATTTCGTTAATCTTAACGATAAAGCTTTGTGCACAAATAAATTAGGCCTTCATTTACTAGTAGCAAAAACTGGAAACCATAAACATTAAAATGGTACTGGTTTACTATACATTAGCCGAGTATGGTGGCACACACCTGTCATCCCAGTACTTGGAAGGCTGAGGCAGGAGGATAGTTACAAGTTTGAGACCAGGCTGGACTACAAAGTGAACTCAAGGCCAGCCTGAACTGCATAGCAAGACCCTGTCTCAAAAATTTAAAAAAAAAAAAAAATCTAATATTAAGTGCAGTTACTTAAGATTATCGGTATATTTTTATGTCATTTATTTCACGAAAGATTTCAACTACCTTACAAACACACTAAAAAAAAATTTAGTAAAATTACACAGGAAAAATTACAGCACGCGAGCAAAAAGGGGCGTGAGCCACGATCTATTAAGTTTTAACCTTTCCAGCAGCCAAAGTCACAGAGAAAGTTTTGGATCTGGTCGGCCAGTGCCCCCTCCTCCACGGTGGCCTCAGACAACCCAAACCTAGGGCTGGGTCCCGCCCACCTACCCCGGAGGTAGGGGTTGGGGACAAGATTGGGATCACTTCCGCCCATACCAGATTCCAGGACTGGAGGCACTGCTGGCATCACTCCCTCCCAGGGGTCATTCCGCCCACTCCCCAGGCCGAAGCCACCGCCCCTCTAACTCCATCGCCCGCAGACTCCCCTCAGGCCTGGCAATACTGAGAACCACCCAGGAAGCTTTGAAACACAGGGTGCTCGACCGCTCCCCTGAGAAGAGAGCCCCATCAGACTGACCTACCTCGGCCTGACAGTGGGGTTTTACGAGCCCCCGAGCAGTCGGAGGATTCACTCTGCGCAGGCGCAGCATCCCCTGGCTGACCTCTTTGCGGGCGTCGTGCGCAAGCGCGTAGCCCCGCCTCCTTGTTTCCCTTCCTTCTCCAGGACGGGTTTGGACGCGCAGGTGTGGGATCCCCAAGTCGGTCGCAGGCATTGCGCAGGCGCGGACCGGTGCTGGGGCTGACCGGACAGTGCGGACATGGCAGGGGTTGCAGCGGTTTCGCGGTTATTCCGCACGCGGCGCCTAGCGCTGTCCCGGATGGTGAGTCCGAAGTACTGGAGGGCGGGGGTTGGGGAGGGGCCGTGGCGGTGACCGGGTCCTAGATAGACTGTGGCGGTGCCTGCAGAGCTCATGCCGAGCCCTCCTATCCTTTTCCATTCGTATGGGTTAGAAAGATTCTGTGCCTCGGAGCTCCTGAGTTTCGGATCCACCGCGTGCGGGTGAAGGTCGCGACTTTCAGCCGCTTGGCGCGGCAACCCTGCCCCACTAGGCCTGGGCCTGGAAATACGCTCGCCAAGGTCACGGGCGGGAGGGGCAGGATTGGTGGAGCGCTAGTGAAGAACCTTTACTTTGGGATGTGGTGGCCTCGGGGCAGTTTTTAAATACCAGTAGACGTAAGCACACTGACTGATGGGAGACTAGGATATATTTTGCCCAGGAGTTCCAGTTGGGCGTGGAGCCTACGGGAGAGTGATGATTTGGGTTACCTTGCCTGAGCCTTTGCTGTGTGATAGTTTCTGAATGCGCCCTCCACGTACTTAACATTGATCTTTCAGAATTTTGTTTGAGCAAACTAAATTTGGATGGTTTTGTTACTTGGTTCTTTTAGGTGAACTAGCCCACCCATCTACCTAACAATTTAATTACAAAGTAGAAGTCCTAATAAGAAGTAAGGAATTGAACAATGTTGTTGCCATAGGCTCGTAATTATAACTGCAATTTTCTTTTTTGAAAAAAGGATGTTAAAATTGCGTTCAGTTAAATGTGAAAACTAACTGACAGCCATCCTTAAACAGAAAACTTGTGTGGGCTTTTAAGAAATTGCATGAATTAGGTCTGTGTTTAGGACTTGACAGTAGATGGATAGGCTGTGATGGCAGCAGAATGCTATGCCATTACCCAGGACTGGTGCCCGGTGGCCCTGTGTACCAAGGCTGGAATAGAAAAATTCTAGCTAGCCTGGAATGGTGGCCCACTCCTGTAATCCCAGCACTTGGGAGTCTGAAGCTGGAGAATCGTTTGCAAGTTTGAGACCAGCCTGGGCTACAAAGTGAGCCCAAAGCCAGCCTGAACTGCATATCAAGACCCTGTCTCAAAAAGACAAAAAAAAAGAAAGAAAAGAGAAAATCTTAGCTCTAAAGTGATAAAAACAGCGTGGTACTGGCAAAAAAAAAAAAGATACTCAAAGTCAGTAGAACAGATTAAAAGATGCAGAAACAACTCCAGACAGTCTGCTACCATATCTTTGACAAAGGGGCCAACAACCTTCACTGGAAGAAAATAGCTTTTTTAATACACAGTACTTGGAAAACAGGCTTTCCACATGATGTCTTTAAATGTGAACTAAATGAAAATTGAAACGGACTGAAGATCTAAATGTTAGAACAAACAATGTGCCAGAAGATAGAATAGGTAGAAGAAGTAGGTGTAGGCTAAAACTTCTTGAACAAAACCTTGATCACACAGGAAATGTTACAAAGAATCAATTAGGATCACTTTAAGCTTTTGCACAGGAAAAGAAAACACCAACAGAATGAGGAGACAATCCACAAAATGGGAAAAAATTTTACCAGCTATACTCTTCAAAGGATTAACGTCTAGAATATATAAAATATAAAAAAAAAAAAAAAACCTCAGAGTCTCCAGATTTAAAGACCTAATCAAACAATGGACATCTGAAATGAATAGACACTTCTCAGGTGAAGAAGTACAACAAATGTATGAAAAAATATTCAACATCACTGGTCATTTGTGAAACAAAACAACACTGAGATTCCATTTCACTCCAAAAACTGTGGCTATCCAGAACTCAGTAACAAATGCCCCATGGGGGAAAAGGAACTCTTCCTGCATTGTTGGTGAGAGTGTAAATTAGTACAACTTTTGTGGAAATCAGTATGATGACTTCTCAAAAAATGAAACTAGATGTTCCCTTTCTAGGCATCTTGATGAAAGTGTCATACTATAGTGATATATATATACACATTTATAGCACAGTTATAACAGCTAAATCTTGTAAATTGCCTATATGTCTTTCAGTGGATAAATAGATAAAGCATGATTTTTTTATATCCAGTACTATTCTGAAATAAAGAAGTATTCCTGTGCCATAAAAAGGATAAACTTGATCTATTTTTAGGTAAAGTGATATAGCTAATGAAATAAATGAGACACAACTTTAAATACCTCATTGTTTCTGTTGGAGCAAAATGATGGATATTGGACTTAGGAATAACATGTTTTAATGGGAAGGAGCACAAGGGAGGGGAACGGAAGAGAAAAAGGATATTAAAGGAAAAGAGTAAAAGACAAAAATGGAAACCAAACATAAATGGAGAGGGGAAGAAGGGTGAAGGGAGGGCAAGGGAATGGCAAAAAGAAAAAAAAGTTATATTTTGTACAGGTGCAAATTCCCTATGAATGTTATATATGGCAAATGGTTTTTAAAAATAAAACAGCCAAACACCGCACCGCCCCCCCCCCCCCGCCAAAATAGAGAAACTGTCTAGCTCTGAGTTTCTAGCTGGAAGTGAGAATAAATAATTTCTAAGGATAAGAGGTCAGGGCGCATAAATCCTTTCCTCATGGCCTCATGCCATCATGGAATGATGGCACGTGATCTTTTTCAACCTTTAGTTTTATCAGCTGTTAACTGGCAACATTTTATCTGAGCTAACTGCATAGATCTTCACAACTGTCCCTTGACTATGTACCTGTGCAAATAAAGTGGCAAAGACAGCAAAAATGAGTCGCAAATGAATCTTCCAAAAATATGGTCTATGAGAATGAGATTAGCTTTTATCTAATGAGATTAGCTTTTCCTGTTGAAATTCTTTCCCCATGCAATATATTTATTGGCATTTTTCTGAAGAACTAGAGTTACCAAAGGGACAATTTTGCCTTTGGGATTAAAATTTAAAATGGATTAAACAGAAAATAGAGAAGTGGAAAGAAAGAGATTAGAAGTAGGGTTGGAGGATAAAGGGGAATCCTGCCAACTTGGGGAAACTGGTACAGAACACTGAAGGGAAAGAGAGATGGAAGAGAAAAGGAAGAACAGAACCATATCCACAAAGAGGTTAGGAAACCACTTGCACACTCACATGTAAACAATGAAGACCGAGAAAACAAAAGGGAAACCAAAAAGTCCACTTCCAGGATTCTCTGGTTTCAGTAGTAGACAGCCTGCGGAGACAGAATCCAGTCTCATGGCAATCTGTCTCAGCAAATCAGCAGTTGCTTTATCATGGAGTAGTGGATACCCTCAGCAGGCCTACCCTGAGACCAGACTTGTTGGGCTGCTGCAGTCCATGTAGTTTCCACTGATCTGGGCCCAGCTAGGAGTTGCTAGTGGAAACCAGCAGCAGTTATGGGTTCTGGGCTTATCCGGCCTGACTCCAAACTGGCTCCTGACTAATGCCTCGCTCCCACAGAAGGACTGAGTCCTTTGTACTCACTGCCAGCAGTGCAGTCCCTATCCACTGCTCCTCTCCACTACCAGATCTCTGCAGAGGCCTCCGGGGTTGCCAGCCATAACCGTGGGTCCTCAAATTCAAACAGGTTCTCTTGCATAGTGAGTCCCGACTCAAGGCTCAGGCACCACCACCAGCTGCCACCTTCTTCATTGAAATTTTTCTTGTTACTCTCTCTGGGCTTCAATTCACACTTCAGATTCTTCCTGGGTCTAGCGGACTCCCTTCCTTCCTTCTTTTCTTCCACCCTTCCTTGTCTTCCTCAAGATGCTGTATTCCATTCTCTGGATGGTGACTCTCGGGCTGTTTTCTCTGCTGCTTACTGCTCCACTGTCTTCCTAGAAATTTTCCTGGAGACAGAATAGTGTCTCTTCCAAATTGCAGAATACTTGAAAATATCGTTCATCTCCCCTCTTCTGATTGCTAAGTGTGCTTGCATCTTAACCACTTAACAGTTTTTGCTGATCGTCATTCAGGCAGCACATCTGTTTATGAACTACCTATCCCAAGCATCACTCAGGCTGGCGCCATTTCAACTACTCAGTTCTCATATTAAACAAATGTGATACAGTTGTTTTTTATATTTCTTGTGTATTTTATAATACACAATAACTTTTATAAGTTAGTGAGAAATGCGATTTTTAGTCATCCTGTGTTTAAAGTATTGATAGTAAGTGGTTAAAACCATTCTTTAGGATATTTCTTGGTCTCTCCATTTTATTTTGCTCTTTTAAAATACATCCAGCTAAATGAAAAACATACCCCCCAACAACAGGCTAGTCTTAGCAGATGAAGAATATTATCCTGTCTTACAGTAGGCTACAGTTTTATTAATAACTAGTTTTCTTGAGTAAATGTTTATGAGACAAAACATTTAAGCAGAGTTGTAAGTTGTGGGGATCACCAGGAAAAGGGCAGGACAATCAGGCAAAAGCAGCAGAACCAGGGACCTGACAGTGAGAACCGAGTAGCTGCAGCCAGATGAGACCAGCTTGCAGAATGAGGGTGTGATGCCAGTCCTTCCTCTGAGCTTGATGACTTTTGCAAGTGTCATAAAAGGCAACAACTCATTTCAGAATAGAGATCTCCTGATGCACTGTCCAGTGCCTTTTCCAACAACTGCCAGGTCTCAGACATTCAGAACTCCAGTGTAAGGACTAAGATGGAGACAGTATTTGCTTTATTATTTGCAAAAGTACTATGAGACACAGATGTCTTTCACATTCTTCGTGAAGTGAAATAAGGTACTGCGGTTTAGGTGTGATGAAATATGCTTATGATCTCTGTTACTCAGGAGGCTGAGGCAGGAGGATCACCCGGCCAGCCTAGGCAATATACAAGACCCTATCTTAAAATGGAGGGTACAGGGTAGTTTGGGGATATAGCTCAGTGGTAGAACAGTTGCCTAGCATTCATATCACTGTGGGTTCAATCCCTCATTTACTATTAGAAAATAAATACTGCAGAGAAAATGCCTTTTTCCTGTTTGAGTGCCCTATTGAGAAACAAGCTTTACCCAAAAGGCATTTCTTGGAGTGCTAAATTGGGATTGTACTTACCTAGGGACTTACCTCGAGGGTGAGGGCCCCAGGGGGACAGGAGACACAGAACAGTTAGTGACTTAGAAAAATAATTTTAATTGGGCACTCCTCTGTTTCTGTTGTTTCTTCAAGATGCTACCATCATCTGTGTGTCGGCAATGGCCAGCAGCCTTCCAAACACCAGCCCGCAGCTTTCACTTCACTGTCGACGGGAATAAGAGAGCATCTGCTAAAGTTTCAGATTCAGTAAGTTTATGACCTTTTTCCTCCATTGTGAACAGTTGTCTTGTTCTGGAATGTATTCCAGTTTAATACGTTTGAGTATTGCACATAGATACAAAAAAATTCCCACGGGCATCCATTGCATTTATTTTTAGTGCAGTAATACTTAGTTGGCTGGGCGTGGAGGTGGTGTATGTCTGCACTCTGAAAGCTGAAGCAAGAGGATTGCTGCAAGTTTGAGGCCAGCCTAGGTTACATAGTGATTTTAAGTCTAGCCTGAACTACGTAGTGAGACCCTGTCTCAAAACAGAATTCGTAATACAGGCCGGGGATATGGCTCAGTGGCACCAGCATCTGCCTGGCAAGCAAGTTTGATTTCTGGTACCAAAAAAAAAAAAGGTACTGCAAATACAAAGATGAATATTGGCATTTTTGCTTGTCACTCTTACTCTATAGTCTAGATTTTAAGTCAAGTAAAACAATTAAAAGGAACAATATTCACTGTGATGACTGATGGAATCTCCACCCAGAATAGGATTATAGCCAAGAATGGTGGCGCATACCTCTAATCCCAGCACTGTAGAAACTGAGGCAGGAGGATTGTTGTGAGTTAAAGGCTAAGCTGGGCCACAGTAGTGAGTTAAGGCCAGCCTGAACTACATAGCAAGACCCTGTCCCAAGGGGGAAAAAAAAAAAAAAGAAGGAATAAGAATGTATAGTCACGTAAGTTTTTCCGTAAGGTTTTCCTGTTTAGTGGATATGTTCTGTCCGTGTTTTTTAAAAAAAAGGTGAGATTTACTTAGAAGTTCTTTTCTCAAGCTCCTAATAGTTCCTGAGTACTACTTGAAACTTTCTCAGTCATAAATCAGGCCCTTGGAAATTGGGCCTGATCCAGGGTTGCAGTCTGCAGGCAGATGAATTATGTATAATGTGCTTATTTAAACAAAAGCAACATTGTACCATTTCCGTAAGAAACCTAGTTAGTTTGGATACACTTTAAGCTTAGACTTGTTTAAGCATATCTGTATATAGGTAGGAATACAGAAAGAAAAGATAGTACTTGGAAGGAAAAAATATTTAGAACAGTCATTGATTACCTTGTTACTTTCCTCTGCTTTGGTTGGCAGAATTGACAGATGGCAGTCTTGAGCATCATTTCAGCTAATAGTGTGTTTCCTAGTCTTTAGAGCAGACCATCTGCTATTCATAAAATCTGATTGGTCCCTTTTCCACATGAGGCTGATACCGTATGTGTCTGTTCAGCCCTGGGGTAGGAATGCAAACCCTCTGCATAGCATTTGCTCTTTCTTTTGGTATTGACTTTATTTCCTTTAGGCTGATCTGCTGTGAATACAACCTTAATGTTTGGCACAGTTGATTGTGTTGGTTAACAGCTCAATTTTCTTTTCCAGATTTCAACTCAGTACCCAGTAGTGGATCATGAATTCGATGCGGTTGTGGTAGGCGCTGGAGGGGCAGGCTTGAGAGCTGCATTTGGCCTTTCTGAGGCAGGCTTTAATACTGCATGCCTTACAAAGCTCTTTCCTACTCGGTCACACACTGTTGCAGCACAGGTAAGACAAAGTGTTGATGCCTCACCGTCCTACACAGTAAAGCTCCCTCTGCCCACTGGACAGCAGCCACATTGGGGAGCACCCTTCAGCTTCCTCTTCTTCAGGGTCACTAGAGTTTTTTCCTTGGGAGCCTTGCAGGGCTAGAGCATCTGACCATGTCTCCTGCTACCCCTTTCACACTGTGGTTCACTTTCCTTCCCAGAACTTAGTTGATTTGCAGTGTGCTTGCAGAAGATGTGACTTTTCTTTTAGTCACCTTTTTGTCCCTGTGACAAAATACCTGAGATAATCAGCTTAAATTGAGGAGAAGTTTATTTTGGCTTATGGTTTCAAAGGTTTTAGTCCATGTTCCTTTGTTCCATTTGATGGAACAAATGTCACAGACCCAAAACATCTGTGACATGTGAACATCATGACAGAACATGTGACAAACAACACCATTTTACCTTATGGCAGTTAGGGTAAAAGAGAGAAAGAGACAGACAGACCAGGTCCTTTTCCCCTTTTAAGAGCACCCTCCCCCACCTTGCTAAAGGTCTGAACACCTCCCAGTAGCACTATGTGCTGGAGACCAACTTTAGCATGGCTTTTGGGGGCCACCCAAGATCCATAGCGCTTGTTAAGTATGGATGGCTCTGAGTTTTGATAATGACATAGATGTGCAGCATAGAAAATCAGTGGCAGTAATGTTGTGAATGTAGAGAAGATAGAAACATGGTAAGGAAAAAAAAAACGTGGTTTTATGGTTTTCTTTTATTTTTGACCTCCTGTTGGTAACACCAACCATGTGTACAGATAGCATTCCAAGGTCGCATTTGACTGTCTTGGGTCTGGGCTGTTTTCTCACCGAATACAAGGTATAGAGTGGCTTTCAGGAGCTAATCTCGGAAACAGCCTTCAGTGCAGGCTTCAGGCATTCTACTGCACAGGTAACTGATTTTAAAGCTGTGTATGAGCTAAAGAATGGATATGTCTTTGAAGTAATCATAGTCTACAAGGAAAAGTAGCTATGAATAAGTATTTCTAACTATCCTGTGTTAAAGCAACAATGAGTGAGAAGAAATGGAAAGAGAGTAGCTTGGCTTGAGTATCAGCTCTTGGGAAAGTTTAATCGAGGAAGACTAAAACTAGATGGGGGACTAGAGATTCCAAAGAAAGCTGAGAACTCTCAGAGACCAGTCTGCACCCTGACTTTTTTTTAATAGTAGCTAGCATTGATTGTGTACTTGCCATGCTGCACCTTTCTTTTATTTTATTGTGGGACTTAACATTTTTTATCAGAATCATCTTGGGTTTACAATTGGAAGGATTGGAGGATGGCAAGAAAGTTAACTTTTGTTCTGTTGCCACAAGGTTTTTGCTCTGTGCTAGTGATGATCATAACTGAAAGGTTGAAGGTATTGTAACTGAGGACACTGAGGCATAGTGATGCTGAAGAAATCCAGCTTGAATCTACTTGACTAGAAAGTTGTAATTGAACAATTAGAAAGAAAAGTTGGAAATTTACTTATTTTTTGTTGTAACCATACCTAAAGACAGATACTTTGTGAATTTCAAAGTTCTGGAGGCTGAAAGGCTAAGATCAGGCATGCATTTGGCCTCATAGTGAGGCTCCCTTGGCTGCCTCCCACCATGGTGGATGGCATTATAGCCGACGTGAGAAGAGGTTACATGACGAAATGGGAAACCTGAGAATGGGAGGGGCCGCTTTTGCTCTTCTGTGACAGTCTAGCTAAAACTACCCAGCTTCCCATGAGAAATGCCTCCCTTCCAAAGGAACAAGCTCCTTAAGATCTCTACACCTCTTAGCACCATCACACTGGAAAGCCAAACATCCAACATAGGAACCTTTGGAGAACACACTCAGATCGTATCAATATGCTGCTGTGAAAAAGAGATGCTCTAAAGAGTGGGAATCAAAATTAAGGAAGAAGAGAATAAAAGTTTGATTTGTCAGTATACATTGCTACATCCATTGGTTCCTTAAGGGATAGGATGCTGTTCACAGATAGCCAAAGGAAGAAGGGTGTGAAGTATGTGTCACACGTGCTTAAAAATGCTGTTAGAAAATTCTGTTGGGGCTGGGGATTTAGCTCAGCGTTATAAGCGCCTGCCTTTCAAGCAGGCAGTCGCGAGTTCGATCCCTGGTACCGATAAAAACGAAAAAGACAAAAAAAAAAACAGAAACATTCTGTTGTAAGATTACCTGATAAGTTTGATGGGTGTGTTTACACCTTCTTGGTCCTCTTGAGGCTTTAGGAGGTCTATGTAATCTCCATTTCAGAGGGAGATGAAGTACCCAGCCTAGTCAAAGAAGGGGCCTAGTCAGGGGAAGAGCTGTGGCTTGGGACCTATCCTGCCTGCTGTCCTTTAGCCTCACAGAGGGTTACTGCGCAAGGACCTGAATCACATTCTGGGGACGTGAAGGCTAGAAGATGCAAATGCAGCACTACTCATGGCTCACAAGGAATGCATTTGTTTCTAGGGGGGAATCAATGCTGCACTGGGGAACATGGAAGAAGATAACTGGAGGTGGCACTTCTATGACACTGTGAAGGGTTCTGACTGGCTAGGGGACCAGGATGCCATCCATTACATGACAGAGCAAGCTCCTGCCTCCGTGATTGAGGTAATGTACCAGAAGCACTCAGATCTTCTCAGGCACAGTCTTTTGTAATACAAAAAAAGTACCGGACAAAGAAAGGAGCCTGAGGATGATCCTTACTATAAAAACGGGCTGGAGATTAGCTCAGTGGTATAAGCGCCTGCCTGGCAAGCACGAGGTCATGAGTTCGATCCCTGGTACCAAAAAAAGAAAAAGTAGAAGAAAGTGATGCACATGTAGTGAGCCAAAAGAATGGCAATGAGCTGAGCTAAAAGGAACAGTTTCCATAAAACTGTTCACTTCACCTAACAAGGAAACTTTTTTCTGAAGGAATTGATTTTTTTCACAGAATATATTAGTATGAGTTTTGTAGATTTGTGTTAAAGTTGTTTAGGAAAAATCAACCCTGAATATCTTCACTTCTTTATAATAATAGGCTTTTGTTCTTGTTTCACAGCTAGAAAATTATGGCATGCCATTTAGCAGAACAGAAGATGGGAGGATTTACCAGCGTGCATTTGGTGGACAGAGCCTCAAGTTTGGGAAAGGTGGGCAGGCTCACCGGTGCTGCTGTGTGGCTGATCGGACTGGCCACTCACTGCTGCATACCTTGTATGGCAGGGTAAGGTGTCTGCGTCTGGATGTGGGGGCATGGTCTGGTAAGACAAGGCTCGTGGCGACCATGGGAATGGCTGAGAGGACAGCAGGGACTCAGTCCAGGCATTGCTTAAAAAGCAATAGCAGGGCCAGAGATACAGCTCAGTGGCATAAGCCACCTGTCTGGTAAGCGCAAGGTCACGAGTTTAATCTCTGGTACCAAAAAAAAAAACCCCGAAAAACAAAAAGCAATAGAAAACAACTGTTAAGATATATAATTATTGTTAATATGAAATTACTGGACATGCTGTGAAAAAGCATAAGTTATTTCCTGTCTGTTTTGGAAAATTGACTTAGTAATTGTTGCATACCAGGTTGGACCTTTTGGTCTATCACACTCCAAGTGTGGGAACAGCAAATATGCTTAAGTTCTTCTACCACTTCTGAGTTCATGGACTGACTCATTTGTTTTAATCCTTAGCTTTAAACTGGAGGACAACTTGAGGGACAGCAGTTATTGGGCAGTTAATAGTTAATGGACTCCTTTTGGTATAATCAGAGCATAAACATTTTTTTTTGTACCAGGGAGCAAACTCAGGATTGCGTGCTTGGCACTTATGCCACTGAGCTCAATCCCCAGCCCCAGCATCAACTTTTTTTTTTTTTTTTTTTTCAGTGCTGGGAATCAAACCCGGGTCCTTGGTACAGGCTAAAGGAGCCCTTCACCACTGAGCTACGTCCCCAGCATCTACATTCTTAACTCTATTGTTTGCAGATGGAAGGGGGACAAGCATTAGGACACCAGTGGCTTCCCTAGCGCTGAGTACATTGATACTGTAGGTATCAATGCCTGTGCTGGAGCTGTAGTGTGGGGGCCGGCCCAGGTTTCCAAAGCCACTTATCTTCATTCAGGGACTATTAGGCCAGCACAAGGAGCACTGTCCAGTGTTGCTCTCTGTGAGCTCCTGGGTGATTTGAACTATCCCATGGGCAAGCACTAGCCCTGTGTGGCCATTGCAGTTATAGCTGGTGTGACTGAGAAATTGAAATGAATGTTTTCATTAACAAAGTTGCCACATGTGGCCAGTAGCTCTGGCCTGGGTCATGACCCGGCCTCACTGTGGCACCAAGTTCTGAGTGCATTTAGTGCTGCATGCAGTCATAGGAGAGCTGGGAGTAAGACACGCATGGCCAGCAAGAGCAGTGCAGAGCCTGCGGTACTGTTGGGTGTTTGCGTTCTTCATACATTTCCGGTACAATGCTAAAAGCAGAATGCCTTGTGCTTTCACGGTGGCATAGGCATTGATTTCAGGGTGAGGTGAGGGCTGGGGGTTTAGCTCAGTGGCATAAGCACCTGCCTTGTAAGCATGAGATTGTACGTTCAGTCTCTGGTACCAAAAAAAAAAAAAAAAAATAGAGTGCTGTCCAATGTGAGGTATTGCTTGTGACTCTTTCAACCGCAGAGTCTCCTTAGACTTAGCTCATCTGTTTGCAGGCTTATGCTTTAACCATTCACATTTTAAGTGTTTGTTGACTGAATCTTAAGTATTTGTTGACTTAACCCTAAATTTAATTTAAAAGGTGGGATCTTTTTCTTGTAGTCTCTGCGATATGATACCAGCTATTTTGTAGAGTATTTTGCCTTAGATCTCCTGATGGAAAATGGGGAGTGCCGTGGTGTGATTGCACTGTGCATAGAAGATGGGTCCATACATCGCATAAGAGCAAAGAACACTGTTATTGCTACTGGGTATGGGATCTATTTTTCATTTCATTTCTCTATAGAAAAGTTGAATTTCAGGGCTTCTTTAATAAAAATGTGGATATTATACAATAATGGTTCAGACATAGGTCTTGGTAAAATCTTGCAAAGGAGGTAATCTTCCCAAGCCTTGGCATCTTACCTTGTGGAAGCAGAGGTGGCTGGAACACAGTGCACCACAGCCATATCAGAGGCTGTTCTCAGGGGCAGCAGGAGGTCACTGAGGGTTGCATGGCTTGTCCTCCTGCTCTGAGGTGAAGAAACAGCCTGCAAAGTCACAGGACATGTTCTGGTGTCACCTTCCTGGCTTTCCTGGCTGCTGTGCATACTGACCCTCTAAAATAGAAACATCCTGTTTTTAGGGTTTGTTTGTTTTAAAGAGGGTAAAATTACACAGAACAAAATAGGTCGTAACAATGTAAGAGACACAGATTACAAAGCAAGACAACCAGAGATCTTCACTGTCTATCATATTGTCTCTTGTTTTCTTCCAAACAATTGTCCATATCTTCACATACAATGAATTCATACAAAACAAGATAGTATAGAACTGATCAGAACAGAATGAAGACATTTTAGGTCTTCAAGAACAGACAATAGGGAAGTCAACAATAGCTGCCATAATGTCTCTCATTCTTTTCAAAATAGCTGTCTGTACCTTCATGTATGTTGAAATTAAACAAAACAGACTAAAATCACTCTGAACAAAGAATAATTGTATGACTAGATTTCATATCATGATGCTGTGGAATCAGTACTGGGTACCTTAGTATCTGTTTTTCTTTAAAGTAGCTGTTCATGATTCTCATAAACTTTTTAGAAGTACTACACATACATGAGTCTCTACATTTATAACCATCTTTTCCATATTAGAGGGAAGAACAAAACAAAAAAAGACAAAACAAAACAAATACCTAGAAAAACACAAAATGAAAAAGACATATAAACAATAATAGCAAAGAGCCCAGTACACTGACAATATAGGCTTTCAGAACAAGGTGGTAGGAGCATAACTGGGGTTATTATTTTACATAATGATCTTCATGAGTTCCTCAGATCACTAATCAGTAATATGCACAATTATTCCAATCTTATGAATGTTAACTATTTTGTTCCAAGAACTTAGCTTGTAGCACAATCATCTTAGCTATCCTGTGTGTTTATATAATTTCAGACATTTTTTTCTTTTTCCTCATTTTCCCTGAGATACTATTTTTCCCCTTTCAGTAGATTCTTAGCCTTTCACTGTAATTACTGAGTTTTTTGTATCTTATATACTCTTAACATTTCCTACACTAGGGAAACTATGTGGTATTTACACATGTGAATTTGATTTATCTCGCTTATGAGTATGGTCCCTAGTTGCATCCATTTACTTATAAATATCTCAATGTGATCATTATTTATAGCAGTAGTACTCCATTGTATAAAAATACCACATCTTTTTTATCCATTCCTCAGTTGATGGGTATTTAGGTTGTTGCCAAGATCTGGCTATTACAAATTGTGCTGCTATAAACATGGGTGCACATATCTCAATGTGGTACGATGTTTTCAGTTCTTCTGGGAATATGCCCAGAAGTGGGATAGCTGGGTCAAATGGGACTTCCAATCCCAGCTTTCTGAGGAATCTCCAGACTGACCTCCACAGTGGTTGCACCAGTCTACGCTCCCACCAACAGTGCAAGAGAGTTCCTTTTTCCCCACAGCCTCTCCAGCATTTGTTGTTGATAGTTTTCTTTATCCTGGCCATTTCTTCCAGAGTGAAATGGAACCTCAGGGTTGTTTTAATTTGCATTTCTCTAATGACCAACGAACATCCTGCTTATTTGTTTTTTGTTTGGTTCTGGGACTCGAACTCACGACCTTGCGCTTGTCAGGCAAGCGCTTCAGCTGCTGAGCTAAATTCCCAGCCTAAAACATCCTGTTTATGCAGTGCTAAAAATAACTAAATTTTACTTTATACACTGATTTTTACCATTTTAAAATTAAGAAATTTCATTATAGCAAAGGGAGCAATCAGCAAAATGAAAAGGCAGCCAATAGATTAGATGATAATACAAACCTATGCCTAATAAGTTAATATTCAAAATATATAATGAATTTATCCAACCACATAGCAAAAATGCTCAGATAATCTAACTAAAAAATGGACATAGGGCCTGAATAGACATTTTTCCAAAGAAAACACACACATAGCCCACAGGTTTTTGAAGAGATGCTCAACATCACTAATAAGAATTCATATTAAGCCAGGGACATAGCTCAGTGGCATAAGCACCTACCTGATAAGTGCAGGATCCTGAATTTGATCCCCAGTATTAAAAAAATTCAAATCAAAATCACAAGGAGATAACACCTCACACCTGTGAAGCTGGCTGATTGTAAAAAGAAAACAAATTTGATGAGGAATATAACATAAAGAAAAGGGAACTCTTAGACTGGTGGTGAGCATGTAAATTGTAGTGTGAAATTTTCTCAGACAACTAGGATTACAGCTATCATATGATCCAGCAGAGTCTTACCCCTAGATGTATATCCAGAATCAGTGAAGCCAGCGCATCCTGGAGATATCTTCATGCCCATGTTCATGATAGTATTCATGGTCACCTAGATACGCAATCAGCCTGTTGATTGATGGATAAAGAAGTGATTTATATAGGCATTGAAGTACTCTTCAGCCATAACAAAGAATACCTGGAAGATGTTAAGCTAATGAAAGTAGCCAAGCACAAAAAAACAAATACTACATGATCTTACTTGTATATAAAATCAAAGAATGACAAACTCAGAAATAGTAAAATGGTGATTGTCAGAAAGGATGTGGGTCCAAATCTGAATCACAAGATAAATTAGTTCTTAGACTTATATGCACACAGCATACTGGTTATGATAATAATAATGCACATATAACTGAAATGTACTGAGGTTGAAGAATCCACACCATAAAGGATAATTTTGTGGTTGGTAGAAGTTAACTGACTTTATTGTAGTAGTCACTTCATAGTGTATACTTGGATTGTCATGTTGGACACTATCTTAGTTTTCTTGTTGATGAGATGAAATACTCAACACTCAAAAGTTAAAAAAAGTTTTTTTTTTTTTTTTCAGCTCACAATTTGTAGAAGTTTCAGTCTATAACTGGGCAGCTCTGAGGCAGGATAGCGTTGCAGAGGGGCATCACAGGGGAGAAACAATTCCTAGCAGGCAAAAGCAGTGTGCAACAAACTGTGACCCTCTTTCTGCCCCTTATGTCCTGTCCTGGCTACCACCCTGAGGGCAGGTAGCACTCACACCCAGAGTGGGTCAGCTTTAATCCTACTATTGCACCACAAATCACTCCCAGCATCACAGAGAAATCATTCAAATGGCACAAAGTACCAAAATACAAATGAGCCTCCCTTCTCTGTCAACAAGTTACAGTATCAACAGGCGTGGCCTCCTTTGTCATGTGGTACATGCATAAGCATGTGCTTAGACGGGGTGTATGCCAGCAATGCCTGAGGCTGCTCTGTAGGTTCTGTGGTTCCTTAAGTCAGGAGGTCCTGGCATTTGCTGCTGTGTGTGGTCACTGCACTCTTGTCATTTTCAGAGGCTATGGGCGGACCTACTTCAGCTGCACGTCTGCCCACACCAGCACTGGTGATGGCACAGCCATGGTTACCAGGGCTGGCCTTCCCTGCCAGGACTTGGAGTTTGTGCAGTTCCACCCCACAGGTAGGACCCAGTGCCTTGCCTGGCATTGCGCTCATTGGTGTCTTGTAAGTATGTGGTGCCTACGTAGTTATCAACAGTTTCAGATACTGACACTCTTTGGTCCTCAAGAAGATTTCTTATTGATCAATTAAAAGCAGTTTGGTATGGATTTATTTTGTGGAGAACATCAGGCCCCACTACTAATACAAATTAGGATGCAGATGGGAAAGAGCTCATCATGGGGGGAAATGAGGTTTTCCTGGCCCATTACATGGTTGTGGATGCACATACAGAGTCAGAAGCTTTAACACAGGGTGACAATTGACATAGAGGGTGTTGGCCTGCAGTGAGTCTGCAGAAGACAGATTGAGGTGACTGGTCCTGCGCTCCCTGGGCCACTGCTCTGGCCTGGAGTTAAGGAGCCTAGCAGGTAGTGCTGAAGAACTAGGATTTTTGTTTTTGCTCTGACTATTTCCCCTCTGAGCCCTGGCAGGGATGAAACATCTGTCAAGGTTTTGTTGTTGTTGTTATCTAATAAACTGTCACTGAGCCTCTGGGTGTCCACTATCAAGTGCTATTGGAAAGTCCCATTTCTTATTTCACAACATTTGAGAAACCACCCAAAAATGCCACGGAAGCTAGGGAAAATGAAAGATAGGTAAGAGACAATCAGCATTCTTGGTTTTTAAAACATACAAAAACATTTCATGTACTCAAGAAAATTTTAACCTAAAAGAAATCATATGCATTTATTTATTTACTTATTGGCATCTTCTGTTAATATTTGAGACTTGACATTGCTTATTTTTTTTCACATTCAAGGACTCAGTCATGGTTAAAAGTACAGACCTCACCATGCTAACTAGGTTTGAATTTTGGCTCTGGCCTTCCCAGCTGGGTGATTCAAATGAATTACATAGCTTTAATTAACTTGCTTGTCTCTGAGGGTGGGGGTGATATTACACGGAACATGGTGAGCGAAACTGTATACAGCGGGCCAGGGATATAGCTCAGTGGCACAGCACCTGCCTGCCAAGCACAAGGTCGTGAGTTTGATTCCTAGAACCAAAAAAAAGTATACAACAGTTAGTCCATAGCAAGTACAACCTAAGTAATGGCAATAGTAATTTCTATCCTTGTTGCTATTTGAGTACCTTCGATAAAAAGGAATTATCTGAGCTGATTCTTGGTGAAAGAGTAATTACCACAGGGGCTGGGAATTTAGCTCAGCAGCATAAGCTCCTGCCTCGCAAACATGTGATCATGAGTTCAATCCCCAATACCAATTTAAAAAAAGAAAATTTAAAAAAAAAGAGTAATTACCATGTTCATGGTACAAAATTATGTTCAAAAATTTAAAGTCAAGGCATTGAGTGCACATGGAGTTCAGTGAGTCCTGGGCAGCATTCTCTCACTGGGTGACACCATTCCTCCTGGACCTGTTCTGTGCATTCAGCTTCTTCAGTGCTTGTTATGCACACTTACTTCACTTCTTGACTTTGTTTCTGTGCTTTGAAGTGTAATACCCATTGTCTGCCCCAACCCTTGATCTTGAAAAAGAATTAGGCATCTAAATTATGTGCCTAGCCATTGTTCACTTACAGATGTTTGGTACTTGGGCTTTTTACAGGTATATATGGTGCTGGCTGTCTCATCACAGAGGGATGCCGTGGAGAAGGCGGCATTCTCATTAACAGTGAGGGCGAGAGGTTTATGGAGAGATACGCACCTGTCGCAAAGGACCTGGCATCCCGAGACGTCGTATCTCGGTCCATGACTCTGGAGATCCGTGAAGGAAGGTGTGTGATTCACTTCCAGACAGATGAGGGTGTGCATGTGGGTACACACACCACACAGGCGCACACATCCAGCACGCAGGCTGACCACTTCTCCTGCACTTCTTCTTTGCTGCCGCTTAATCGCGTCTACATTTTCACATCTGGATTGTGCAGCTTTTCACTTTGAGCACCCACTTTGTCTCCTACCCACAATCAAAAAATTACGTTACCTTCTCACTGTTGTCCATGAATTTCTAGTCTTTTTCTACTATATTTTTGGAATTTTATCCAGTTAAGTATAAATCTTTCTCATCTCAGGTCTGTGAGAAGGGTATGATAGGCACCCTGTGGGAGAGCAAGACACAGCACCCCAAAATTGTGTTATAGCCCTCATGCCACAAGTGTTTGCAGCCTTTGGGATTTGGTCATACGTGTTCCTTAGTGAAAACTCCAGGTTCCAAGTGCCTGACCCAGTTCTTTTGATTGTTGTGGGCAGTTTCACTATATAGTTCAGGCTGGCTTTGAACTCACTATGTAGCCCAAGTTGTTCTCAAACTCGCAGCAATCATTCTGCCTCATTTTCCCAAGTGCTAAGAATACAGTATATACCACCACACTCAACTCTAAACCTGTTCTTCAGTGCAGTGACTGTGATCTGTGCCTGGTAGTGTGCCTCTGTCGATTTTATGTTTTATATAAAAATGAAGAGTTGGATGGCTTTTCAGAGTACTTGACACAGGACTTTTAATGCATTTACCAGGGGAAATGCAGCATATCTTGGTCAGGATTAGAGTGTGAGCTTGATTACTGTAGGGCTTTTTTTGTTGGTTTTTTGTTTTGTTTTGTTTTTCATTTTTTTTTGTTTTTGTCTTTTTGAGGTAGGGTCTCACTATGAAGTTTAGGCTGTCCTTGAGCTCACTGTGTAGCCCTGGCTGGTCTCGAACTTGAATAGATCCCCCCTCCTTGTACCCTTGAGTGCTGGCATTACAGGTGTGTGCCACCATGCTCAGCTGCTATAGGGTTTTTATATCTGTTGTTGGCACACAGTAGATGCTTAAAGAATATTGGATAAAAGAACAACCCAAATGGAAAACTTCCTTCAGAAACAACATTGAATTCACATGTGTCCACAATGAGCGGTTGCTCCTGTTGCTGTTCTTTTACCTCATGTTAAAACACTCTGTTTTGCCAGGGGCTGTGGCCCAGAGAAAGATCATGTCTTCCTACAACTACACCATCTTCCCCCTGAGCAGCTGGCCACACGTTTGCCTGGCATCTCAGAGACGGCCATGATCTTCGCTGGTGTGGATGTCACCAAGGAGCCGATCCCAGTCCTCCCCACTGTCCATTACAACATGGGTGGAATTCCCACCAACTACAAGGGACAGGTGAAGATACCTCTCTGCTACCCTTAGATCTTAGAAGCAAGAACAAAACTACGTTGTGTTACTTGGTAGTGTGTACTTACTGTAAGTTGCTATTTCTGGACAGCAGGCAGAGCCTCAGGTTGCAAAGTTTGCATTCATTTGGTAATAACAGTTCATTATCAGTAGTGTATTAATTCTGCCATAGATCTAATATCATGAGCAGTTTTTTGCTTTTATTACTCTCCTGGATGATGCTTTTGTTATTTTTACAGTGATTTTATCAGTCTCTGATCTTTACCATTGGTATGCAAGGTGATATCAGCTGGCCCTTCCACTTTGGTCTCCAGGTCAGGGTTGGGAGGTTTGTTATTCTCCCTTCAGAGATCAACAGTGAGTAGAAAGGTCCAAAATGCCCCAGTCTTCCTCCCATTGATGGCATGCTTTTTTTCCCCGCCCCCGTTTTGAGACGGTCTCGCTATGCATTTCAGGCAGGCCTTGCACTCACTTTGTAGCACAGGCTGGTCTCGAACTTGCAGTCCTCCTGCCTCAGCCTGCCAAGTGCCACCACACCCGGCTGTCAATGGCTTTCTGTCTGCCATACACCTTGGTCTGAGCCAAGATCACACAGTGGCCAAGCTGGGTGTTTAAGACAGGCTCTAGTGTACAGTGGACCTGGGGGAAAAGCCACATGGGGTCCTTTGGCTTATTCATCATGGTGAGTGTTCAGGAAAAGAGGAAAACTGGGGATACACTAGAAGGCTCTTTCCGAGACAGCAGACACTATCTTCTTTCCTACCTCAAGCTTAGAAGTCCATTCTGGGTTGGAGGAGCTTGTGTCAACCCCAGTACCTGTCTAATTTGAAATCTTCCCCACAGGTGCTGAAGCATGTGAATGGCCAGGATCAGGTAGTGCCTGGCCTCTATGCCTGTGGGGAGGCCGCCTGTGCCTCAGTGCATGGTGCCAACAGGCTTGGTGCAAACTCCCTTCTGGACCTGGTGGTCTTTGGACGGGCCTGTGCCCTGAGCATTGCAGAGTCTTGCAGGCCAGGTATGTGCTCTCTTCAAGCAGCCAGGTTATTCAGGAATCTTGATTACTTGTTAAAAATATGCCCAGTACTTGCGTAGTCTAGTTTTCCTCCTGAAGTGAAGAGCAGAGAAGTCCAGAGATTTTGTGGTAATGATGGTAAAGTTAGGCGAGCTGGGAGGAAGTCTGTAACAGTTAAGATGAGGGGTTTTTTTTTTTGGTTAATTTTTTTTCCAGTTGTTATTTTGTGCTTTAAAATATCATAATTGAGCTGGGTGTGGTGGCACACACCTCTAATACCAGTACTCAGGAGGCTGAGGCAGGAGAATCATTGCAAATTTGAGACTAGCCTGGGCTACAAAATGAGTTCAAGGCTAGCCTGAACTGCATAGGGAGCCAAAAAAAGTGAAAAAATAAAGTATCGTTATTAGGAAATCGTTATTTTGAGTGAAAGCTTATTAAATGCTGCTTTCCTGGCAGAGATTATTTATTTGCAATGAAATATTTTAAATAGTAGGGATAAAAGAATAATTTTTGGTTCTTAGTAAAATGAGTCTGTTCTAAAATAAACTACAACTCATTTTTATTAAAGAAGAGGTGATGCAAGCAAAGGATTGGATTATGGCTCCTGTCTTTCAGGGGCAGGATGTGTTTTGATTGATCTTTTTTTTAAGGAAATTTTTAATGTTTTTTATTCATTATAAAAGTAATGCTTGTGCCAGAATTAAAAAGAAATAACCAAGTGTGTTGGTGTACTTAATGCCAGCACTTGAGAGGTGAGGCAGGAGGATCACTGTGAGTTTGAGGCCAGCCTGAACACAACAAAACCCTGTCTCCTGTCTCTTTGTCTTTGTTCTTGCAAAGACAAGATTAGGCCATGGCAGTAGATGTTCCTCAGTCTGGTGTCCAGGTCACTGCTGGCTGAGGCTGCTCCATACTCTTCCCAAGTCCTGGCAAGGCTCTGAAACGCCTACAAGTATCACTCAGAATTCATCTGCTTTTCTAAAATATTTTTTAAAAGTTAAATTCTAACCTCCTCTTCTTTTTATTTTTTTAGGAGATAAAGTTCCTCCAATTAAACCAAATGCTGGGGAAGAGTCTGTTATGAATCTTGACAAGTTGAGATTTGCTGATGGAAACATAAAAACATCAGAACTGCGCCTCAACATGCAGAAGGTAGGAACGGTGCTAGCCCCGCTGCCCACACAAGTATGTAGGACAAACAGTAGGAGCCCTTATTGCCTCAAATAAGAATATATGAGTGGTCAGGAAGCCTCGTATAGACAGAAGACTGAAGATCATTAATCCAGGCAGAAGTAGTGGCCCCTTGGCATCAGGGTTGTGACTTCTCTGCTGGTGTGAGCCTGGTGTCCATCCCAAACCTGCTCTGGCTGTCACATGTCTCACAGCATGAAGGAAGCACAGGGAGATCTGTATTTCCAGTTTTAATATAAATGGCTACATGTGGTTAATCTCTCTGAATTAGAAAACACAGGCTTAGATCACTAAAAAATAAAGTATAAAACAGAAAACAAATTCTTCTAAAATAGGAATTCTTGGTCCATGAATGAGAGTTTTCTCTACTTAGGATTATTTGTGGAAATTGGGTCATGTGTATGTCTTTTAAAAAGAAGCTCCTGCGAGGTGTGGTGGTACATGCCTGTAATCCCAGTCCTTGGGTGTCTGAGGTAGAAGAAATGATGCAAGTTTGAGGCCAGCCTGGACTACAGAGTTCAGGGCCAGCTGGAACTACAGAGTAAAACCCTGTTTCAAAAAAAAAGTCCCTTCTTTAATCCTATTCGGAAAGGGGCCCAGTGACTCAAACACAGTCACCAAAGGGAACAGATTATTTACCGCTTTGCTCAGAGGTCTGTGTGCTCCTGTCTTCTGGAAGGACTGGGCTTTAGCAAACTTTGTGAGAAAAATGAGGCACAGAAGTGGACCGAGTTATACTTAGCAGGACTGAGCAGGTAGTGGTATTGGGGCAGAAACCAAGAGGAATAACATAGTCACTGTGTTTGGTGAAACCTTGCACTGGATATTGAGCCAGAAAACCCATGTGATACTCTGAGGTGGAAATAGTAGAGGCATTACCTCCCACCAGAAGGCATAGCCTCCAACCTGCTGAGTGCAGACACTGTTGGAAGTGGAGTCACTCAACAAACAGCTGGGAATCCCTGTATTCAAGGAAGATGCAGTTTTGGGAAGAAAGCAATTTTTACACTGACTGTAGCTTATACAGAAGAAATCAAAGAAATGTGATATATATCTACAAAATTGTCTTTACTTACATGTTTACCTAAAAACCCCAAGGCATAACCAAAAAGCAGGCTAGTAAAAAATGTCTTGATAAAACATTTATGTAGAAACTAGTAGCTTTTAATATTTCAGTACCGGGCTTCTCCTAAATCAATAATTATTTACAGTACAGATAAAAAAAAAATATAAAATTTAAGATATGAAAGAATGTTTAATTACCAAATTCTGAAACAGTTTTTGTCACTTGTCCTAAGAAACCATAGGGACAGTGTGCATTACAATTTTACAATTATGTATCAGTTTAAAGAATGTTAGTGGAAATGTCTCCCAGTTAAAGCTGTGTTAGTCTGATATCAGTAGAGGAAGAGGTCAGTGGATCAAAGTAGAGCCCAGAAGGTGGCTTTGACTAGAGAGAGAATAGAGGACCTTATTCAGCAGGTAGCCCTGGGCATTTGACCACAGGTCAGTGGGTACTCAACTTCTCAGCATAGCAGAGTGATCTTGAAAACTTGGAAGTTTTTTTCTTGGGCCATGTATTATGACCATAAATATAATCATAAAGGCATTTGAATATGAGGTACTAACAGAATGATCAGAGGCCCAACAGCTGGGAAAGGCCAGCCGTTAACGGTCCCCAGGCCTCTCGGCTCCTCCTTCTCCCCCTGACCCACCTCTGCAGCTGCCGCAGCCCTCTACATCCTCTAAATATGCCCTACTTTGTATCACAAGGGGGTGCTGTAGGCCTGTGTCCCAATTGTCAAAGAGCCAGGTGTCCTGAGGTCTATACAGAGGTGCTATATTTTCATACAGGAATTATTAGTTATGTGGTTTATTTAGTACCATTCAGAGCACCCTGCTTAAGAGAAAGTCCACCTGTGGTAAGCTGTGTTTCCGAAAGTGGTGCCAGATATGTAAATCATTTCTCTTGGTGAGATAAACAGATTTGCTAGGCAATTGGTACTATATAGAATAGAATAATGGGAACTTTTTTAAGATTTCATCAAAATTTCATTTTAAAATTCAAAAGTGGCACATGCTTATAAAATCTTAGCTACTCAGGAAGCTAAGGCAGTGATATCACAAGTTTAAGGCCAGCCTGGGCTTTTAGTGAGTCATATGCTAAATATTTTTAAAATGGAGAGATTAGGGATATTGCTTAGTAGTAGAGCACTTAGCTGGCATGTATGAGGAGGACCTCCTGTTGCCAGAAAGAACCACATACACACACAGTCTGAGAGTTTATCTGTTTAGTTTAAGTAAATATGTTAACATAAAATGAAATGCAGGAAAACTAGTCTAAAGGTTTTAACAGTTATCTGGTGTGGCTCCTGGAGATTCTAGTTTACCACTGATACTGTTAACATACTGTCTTAGTTACCTTTCTCTGGTTGCTGGGACAAACTGCCAGACACCCAAAATTTAAAAAGGAAAGGTATACTTAGCTCACAGGTTGTGGAGGTTTTAGTCCGTAATCAGCTGGCTCCAAAGCAGAGTGACATGGCACAGGGACAGCACTTCTAGGTAACAGAAGACAGCAAAAGCAGCAAGAGCAAAAAGTAGGGGAGAGTAAGCTTCGTTTATATTTAATCAGGCTACCTGGCCCCTAGGGCAAATGTAGCACCCACGCCAGATCTCTGCCCTCTTCTTGCATAGTATGAGGATGTTCACAAAGTAAGGATCCTGGCCCCATGCGAAGTCCCATAGTTAAACTTTTTCAAGTTGACACAGTGTATCAACCATTATACAGACCATGCAGACTCATGCTGCAGTGTTCCGTGTGGGAAGTGTACTGCAAGAAGGCTGTGAGAAAATTAGCCAGCTCTATGGAGACCTGCAACACCTGAAGACGTTTGATAGGGGTGAGCCAAGAGGGTGGGGCCTGCCCTCTGCAGGGGTCTTCATGTTGGGCCTGTTTGCCTGGCTGAGTTCCATGTCTGCTATCTGGATGGCCTTGGCCATGACTGTAAAACTAGACCCTTGTGACTGGATCCTGTCCACTTCTCATGGGTCTGTGTGTGTCCCCAGGAATGGTCTGGAACACAGACCTAGTAGAGACCCTGGAGCTGCAAAACCTGATGCTCTGTGCCCTGCAGACCATCTATGGAGCAGAGGCACGGAAGGAGTCACGAGGTGCCCATGCCAGGGAAGATTACAAGGTATGTGGAGTTAAGCTTGTGCACCTGGTGCATTCCTGGGGCTGCCACTCAGCGGCTGCTTTGTACACTTACGTTTTCCCCTTTAACTTTTACTTTTGTTTTCACTGGCTTCAGAATCATGTGAATTTGAGTTAGTACCTTAGCCAAGCAGGACTGATTCTCTATGGGCTGAGGGTCCTATGGCTAGGAAATGTTAACTTAGTGATTGAAGTGTGGGGTAAGTAATTGCTTCATACCTAATGTCAGCTTGGGAAGGGAATCAGAACCCTTTTTAGATGGACTAGTGAGTGCAGAGCACACACAGTGGTTTAGGATTCTGCATATGACAGTGGAATACAAGGAAAAAGGGCTCGGGATATGGCTGCAAAGTCAGGAGGATGCTTCAGCTGAAGGATAGACTCTCTGTAAGACACAACATAGGCTTTAGCCCAGTACAATGCAGGGTGACACAATTGGTTAAATAGGAGGGGTTTGCATTTATTGTGAAGTTTTATCGCTATCCTGCAATGACCAGATAGATGAAGGGAAAAATGATTGATGGTCATATTCCCAAGTATGTACTAAGGCTGAAAGTTTGTCCAGAGTTGGCTCTTGGGCTGAGGTGAATGAGTTTCAGTGTGAGGCAGGACTGAGAACCCATAGCTCAGGAACTGTGTGGCCACCCTCCTCATCCAGGAAAGAAGAGCCTCCTCCACTAACCCCACATTCACCAGAAACAGCCAAGTATTTGGGTCCCTGGTTTTTACTGAAAGAGGATGTTGCTTTTATGTCAAGCAGCATTTTCCTTACTAGCTTTTAGGTATTCTGAGAGTTTTTGATGTTTTAATATAATTAAAATAGTTAAATAAAAATAACTGAAAGCATTGGGAAAATCTCCCAGGATGTGGGCAAAAGGAAACTGATAAAGTTTTAGGTTTATAGATAATACCTAAATCTAATATCCACCCATGGAGTTGTATAAAAAAATGTAGTAGACACTGCACTCACTGCAAGCTACAAAACCCACCGGCTGTCACTAGGTCCTGAACTTAATGCTGTCTGCCTCCTGTGCGTGGTTTTAATATTTGCTTCATTTCCTGACAATGACCTGAATGATTGATAAGAGGTGGGTACATTTCTGACTTCAGGTGCGGATTGATGAGTATGATTACTCCAAGCCCATCCAGGGGCAGCAGAAGAGACCATTTGGGGAGCACTGGAGGAAGCATACCCTCTCCTATGTGGACATCAAGACTGGGAAGGTATGTGGTTACGCATGTGAGCTGTTCTACACTCAGGCCTTTGGTAGTGACTGTCTGGGAGAAGCAGGCCAGACCTAAACAAGCTGCTGACAGATTTGAAACACCACCGAAAAGGACACCACACGAGGCAGGCATCTTCTGGAAACAAGGTCCAGGGCCTGTGGTGGTTCAGGGAAGCCTAAATGCAGGGTCAGCTCCTGTGGCTTTTGCTGGTTCAAGGGTACTGGGTAGAGATCAAGTATCTCAGGGCTGGTGGCCTGGTAGAATATGGTGACTCTGGAGGGACACAGACAGCCACTATAGCAACCTACTTGGAGCCCAGAGAGCCAGGAGACATCTTTACCTCCCTTCCCAGTGTCTGGACCACCAGGAAGCAGCTGCTGAGGAGACCAGCAGAGATGGTGTATCCCTTGCCTGCAGCATACAGAACAGGGCACAGGCAGGAGATGGTAGCTGAATCTGTGAGCTTCTGTCTTCTCTACCAACACACAGATCTCCAACATGTAACATTTCTGTGGGTATTAAGATTCTGAAATAATCAAGATACCTTTGCTGGTGCTGGTGATACACACATGTAATCCCAGCACTCCGGAGGCTGAGGCAGGAGGATCAATTGCCGTGCTTTGGAGACCAGCCTAGGCTACAAAGTGAGTTTAAGGCCAGCCTGAACAGCATAGTGAAAACCAAAAATAGCTTATACCTTTAAGCTTTTCATACCTTGTAGGAGAGATAGTCTTCCAATAATTTATCTGTGTTGTTAGAAACCAAGGTGAACGGTGTCATCACCGGTGGATGCCTAGTGTGTCTTAATTCAGACAGTCAGTTGTTTTCAGAATCTATTATGAGGACCATTTTCTAATGTTGTATACGAGTCAGACTTCCTCCTTTAACAAGCATGTTTTTAATAATGTTTGAGGGAGTGATTATAAAATACTTACTTTGGAAAGTATAGGAAGTACTCAAAAAAACCCACATAAGTATTGTAAGCTAATCAATCAGAAATCACCTGTTCTGAGACTGGAGGGTTAGCTCAGTGGCACAAGTACCTGCCTGCCAAGTGCAAGGTCACAGGTTCAATCCTCAGTACCAAAAAAAAAAAATTAAGAAATCAGGGGCTGGGGATTTAGCTCAGCGGCATAAGCACCTGCCTTGCAAGCAGGCAGTTGTGAGTTCGATCCCCGGTACCAATAAAAAAAGAAAAAAAAAAAAAAAAATTAAGAAATCACCCATTCTGGTTTGAAACATTTCCTCCAAGTTTTATGTGTATATGTGTACTTACACTTTCCTATGAGTACATGCTATGTGTATAAATAATCACTTTCAAGTAGGAGTTTTAACAAAACGTGACAGTGTCTTACAAAATTTTTCCTGCTTTGAATGATGTAACCATGTGGGCAAAGCATGAAGAATCTTGTCTTTTTCTGTTTTTGACAGAGAGACTCACTGTGTAGTTCCTGGCGGCCTTGAACAGGCTTCAGTCCTCCTGCCTCAGCCTCCCAGGGGCTGGTATTAGAGATGTGCACCAGCACGCCTAGCTTCATGAAGAATCTTGTGCAGTGTTACTTTAAGTTGCTGTATTCTTCTTTGTGGGATTTATGTGTGTTTTTACACATGGATTAATGTAAACGAGCCCTGATGTATATGCTGATCGCTTTCCAGATTGTGACTCCTTTAAGTTCCCATTCCTAGAACTGTACTATGTAAATTTTCTTAGAAGCGCCACAGGTGTTTGTGTACTCCTGTGTTCTAACTCCTCCTAACTCTTCTTTTCAAGGTCATTCTGGAGTACAGGCCTGTCATCGACAAGACCTTAAATGAAGCTGACTGCGCCACAGTTCCCCCAGCCATTCGCTCCTACTGATGAGACACAGAAGTTGTAGAATCAGCTTCTGTAGTTTTGTATCATAGCTTTCACAGGTGTTCCTGTCTTACCTGCCTCAGGAAACTCCCTACTCTGTCCTGAACTCGCTGCAGAGATTGTACACTCAGTGGCCAGCAGCCTGCCAGAGTCAGGCAAAGAATAGCTAGGTCTGCCTTTGTCCCTAGCTTTATTCTGTGAAGTGTAATACTGGGCACAATTCGAAATGAAATGCAAACAAAAAACCTTTCTGTACTAATCACTTTCTCATTACTGGTACGCACTACCTGACAGTCACAGTTTAAAGGAGGAAAGGTTCAGTGACTCACAGTTTCCAGTGGGTTCAGTGTGTGGTTAGCTGGCTCTAAAGCAGAATCAGCATGGTGAATGAGCATTGTGAAAGAAAGTTGCTTAAAGCAGACCAGGAAGCAGAAACTAAGGGGAGAAGCCAGGAACAAGGCACCCTTTCAGGTCATGCCCTTAGTGACTTGCCTTTTCTGGTCAGGCTCCATCTCCAAACACATGAAGTTTTTAAGGGACATTTTTTTTTTCTTTCTTTTTTTTTTTTTTTTTTTGACACCAGGACTCAAACTCAGTACTTTGCACTTGCCAGGCAGGTGCTTGTGCCACTGAGCTAAATCCCCAGCTAAGGGACATTTTAGATATATACCACACCATTTCCAAAAAGCTATGTCTATGTCATTATTCATAATGCATTTAGTTTGTCTCTTAAGAATCATAACCCTGAACTGGTGGCGTATGCCTATAATCTCAGCACTCAGAACTGAGGCAGGTGGATGGATTGCTGGGCATTGGCTCCTTGGCTGAGGCCAACCTGTACTACATAGAAAGTTCAGGGCCAACCTGAACTATAAAAACCTCTGAACAAACCAAGCAAACAAAAATCACAAACTCTCAGCTCCAGCATTACTAGAAAGTCCAGAGCCTCAGAGACTCAAGGCAAATGCTTAGCTGTAAGCCTTTGTACAAGTCAGGAAGTTAGGTCAGGCTTACGGGTGCACATCTGTAATCCCAGCTCTTGGGAGGCTGAGACAGGAGCATCACTGTGAGTTCGAGGCCAACCCAAACCGCATAGTGAAACCCTGTTTCAAAAAGACAAAAAAAGTCAAATATTTGTAAAGTACAATAGTGTAAGTATTCCCATTCCAAAAAGGATGAATAGAAGACTAGCCAGGAATCTAACCAAAGCAAGACTGAAACCTATCAGGACAAATAAATCCTTATCTAGCACCTGGGGCAAGTCCTGGTCAGGTGAGAGCTCCAAAGGCCAAGGGGTTGGGCAGCACTGCCAGTTTCACATGACCTCTCTTTCAGGCAGACTTATGTTTCACACACTGCCCTCTTTAATGCTCCTTTTGTGGCCTCGTAGGCCTTCCTCCAAAACCTGGGTGGAAGTCGGTGAACCCACAACTCTCGGAAAATGGATTCTATCAATATGCCACCAGCTTGGGCAGCAGTATGGCCCCCTTGGAGCATGGCTGCAGAGCCTCTGAGTTACTGGAAGACTGGAAGACTAAGTCGGTCATCGACTTACCTAGATATATCCCCTAGGCACTCCTGAATGAACAGAATGCCCTAGGACTCTTCTCAAAAAAGCAAAGTCTTTGAAAGGAGTTTACTCTTTCTAGTTTGTCATTGGCATTGTTTAAGACAGCCTTGATATATATTTCAGAATGTGCTTGAACTTTCTGTTTCAGGTTGGCTTTAAGCATGTGCTAATCCTCCTTAGCATCCCAAATGTGGTTGCTGTCACACCCGAGTTTACCCTTTTATGCACCTGAAATGTTCTCCAGTCATCTTTCCTGTTATCTTATGCAGAGTACTTGTCTTTTAAAGCTCATCTTTTCAAAATTGTAGGTCTTAGCACCTACATACAGGAGCTATCTTTCTGGCAAAACTGCAAACTTTTCACATTTTTTGGCTATAATTTTTGCTCTCTGCTCCTGATTCTCATTATAAATCCAGCTTAAAAGCAGCCAACTGTATTTATGCCACAAAATGAACAGTGGGCTGCCTTGAAATTTGTTCAGATTGGTTAGTTTACCACCTTTAAGTTCAGCTTCACACAAATGTTAGGACAGAATCAGTGGAAATGTAGACAAGTCCTTGCCAGAATGTAATAGAGTTACATTAACTAATTAAACAAATTGTTTTCAGTAATCTTTAGTCCCACTTGAAACCTCATAAGCCTGACCTTTATTATCCGCATTGCTATCAGCAAACATTCTGGTCTTCAGCTCTATAACCAGAATTATCCATCAAGCTCATTACAGCATCCTACAGCTGCTTCAGCAGGTATCTCCAAAACAAGTAGAATTCCCTCTGCAAACCCAAAAGTTTCTGAACCACATGGTCAGATACAGCTTTACCTAACTACCACATCAGCAACCCCACTGCTAGAAACCAAATTTCTGCATTTCCAGTCCCACTCCTGTCAGTGGAACAAAATATACGATACCTGCAAGTTACAGGAAAGGTTTATTTGATCAGTTTCCAGGGTTTCCATTCATGGTTATCTGACAGTATAGTGGAGGAAAGTTAAGCCATTGCAGCCGGGAAGCAGAGAGAAAAAGGAGCCAGGGACAAAGATAAGCCCACTCTGTGCTCTTCTAACCTGTAACCTCCTAACAGGCTCCACCTCCAAATATTTGAGACTTTGTGGGAAACACTTTGGATCTAAACTTTAACCTTTATTTCTAAATCCATCTTGGCATATATTGCCCTGAAATATCAAGTTAATTATCTTCATATACTGTTAGATCAAAATCTAGAAATCTTGTGGGGGTTTTTTGTTTATGTAAAAATTTTGGTGTCGGACAGCAAATGAAGGAACCCACAACTCTTGAAAAATTGGTATCAGTGTGCCACCAGCTTAGGCAGCAGTACCGTGGCTTGGACCGTGGCTGCAAAGGAAACTTAACATTTCCTCTTGTTCTTGTCAAACAGTTTTGTAGGTAAAACTATGAAACCAACGGGACTAAATGGATTTTTTTATTTTTAGAAACAGTCTCTTGTAATGCAGGCTGAACTTGAATTTATCATGTAGCTCAGTTGCAGCTGTCCTGCCTTAGCTTCCCAAGTGCTGGTATTATAGGAATGCCCCACCATACCCAGGTTAGACTGGTCTCTTAAAAACAAATCCAACTCAAGCCAGTAACAGTGGTTCAAGCCTGTAATCCCTGCACTTCAAGGCCAGCCTGATTTACATTGCAAGCCCCTGTCTGAAAAAAAAAATTCTGACTCAAGTTAAACAATGAGTGTATTTACAAAATTTGGCACTAGAAAATAATATAAATTTCTTCCTTGAAGTGTTCTGTGTTTTTTGTTTTGGTACAAATACTTTTTATAAGGCAGGCCAGGAAACATTCTATTAATTTTGCAGATGAAGACATGGTCAGTATGGATATTGAACATAGGAAGGGATGTGTTCTCTCTCTCAGTATATCTTAAGTTTTTCATGTTCAGTGATCACCAATTGTGATCTGTAAGAGTTGAATTATTTATTCTGGGCTAGACTTTGGGGAATGCTTAAGATTTGATTCAAAATCAAATTGAGTAATTGAATAGGCACTTAATCAGGGAGAAAAGTTTGGACGTGAGAAATATAGAGTCAATGCCTTAGGTTCCTGGACACAAACAACATAACAGAAAGTTAATGGAAATCTAGCCATTGAAATCACTTGGGAGTTTCTAGTCAGTTTCATGAAGCACCAAGAGAACCCATCATACCTGGGAAGGGACATTGTTACACCCACAAAGTTCTCCCCTACAATCAAAGGTATAAAATGCAGGAGAATGGATAAATCTCAAAATCATTATGCCCAGGAAGAGAAGCCAAAGAAAAAGCGTGTGTTGTGTGATTGCAGCACTAGAGAGTGCTAACCAACACAGTAAAGGAAAGCAGGTCAGTGATTCCCTGCAGACTTGGCTGAGGGCAGGTTCCCTTGGAGCAGGAGGACACTTGTGGGTGGTAGGTATGTTCATTATCTTGCTAATTATATCTTAAGGAAGCAATTAAAATGCTAGCCAAAAAAGGCTATAATATATAATAAAGTTTCCCACCTCTAACCTCCAGAAGTTTGTTGCCATATATTTCTTGTGAAGATATAGGTTGTGAAGTTCTTGTAAGTGGTTTGTGGGAATGCAGAACATTATAGCCTTTATAAAAGACAATTTCATGACATGTGACAAACCTGTGTAGGCATTTCCCTTTGACCCAGCAGATCTAGGAAACCAAGAAATGAAAACACTCTGTAATTATTCACTATGGCATTTTAAGTAGTGGGAGCAACAAAATGTCCATTGCTAGGTGATAAAATTTATGCATGCAAGCAGAGCTGTGAGACAGAATGAGGATGACCTTTATACAGTGCATAGCAGTAGATTTAATGCAGCACAAATGCATTTTTGCTTTTTCTCTGAAGACACCAGAAAGATAAAAAAAATTTTTAAAAAGTGGAGGTCCGGGCAACACAGCCCATGGGTAGATATTGGGACAGAATAAACCGATCAGTAATACTTTGGATAAGTGTTTTACATATTTCCAAAATAAATTCTTTAGACAATCTCTAAAAGTGAAAATTAGAATTGAAATGAATGAACTGAATTGCTTTCAGTTTTATCAAAGGTGACCCAGAGACAAGAATTTGGGAGGAATTTAGAGCAGCAGTTGAAGGAGGTCAGAGGCAGAAAAGGTGGGACAGATGTACTGAGGAGCTTCTTCCCACTGAGCTCAGTGGCCCAAGGGTACTTGGGTTCCTGCACTCCTCACCTGCTCCAGTTGCACTATGGGTGTTACAGAGGATGCCCTCAGGCAGGCACAGAGTATGCCAACCTGTGAGCCTAGACATCAATAGCATGTGGCCCACCTGCATACGGACCCAGAGACGGTTGCCGAGGGTTATTCCAGGGGGTTAGCACATGGCACTTTCTACAAATTAGTAACTATTGTGGTGGATTGACAAACGGTGGTCAATTTAGAACACCGAGCTAGACTGAATCAGCATGGTGCTAGGTGTGGAGGGCCCACCTGAGGATTGTTGTCAACAGAGTGAAAAACACCAGAGAGGAAGAACTGGTGGTGCTGTCGGTTCTAGAGAAGCTTGTCATGCTGGTTTTCCTGATATGAACTTGGCTGTTCCCATCAATGAAAGAGCTTGGGACCTTGCTGCTCTTGTGAACTGCTGAAGCTGGAAATTGACCACACCTGCAGGAATCAGCCAGCCAGTCTGAGAACAAAGACTGCCCAGGTGAGCCACAGAAAACTGACTGTGGGCCACGATCAGGCTCTTAGGTTGCCATACATGAAGATTACTAGTCAATGGGGTGTCCTGGCTTTAAGTTGCTAAGTGTGTAAATGAATGCCCCTACAATGAGGAGGTAGTTCTTTCCCTCCTATTCATAAAAGAAGGCTCCACCTGACTCCAGCTTTCATCTCCTTTTTACTTCCTCATCCTCTTTTGGTCCTTCTCTGCCCAGGAACCCCAAGAGCCCCATTGGTTGTATCATATGGTGCCTGAAACACAGAGTAAGAGATAGAGTGAGAGAATACTTTTTATGTGTGCAAACAAAAGGGAGAAGTGCATTGATAGTGGTAAATATTCATCACTGGAGTGTATTGATACTGGCTTCATCATGTATGAAGTTTGACGCATTCAAGAAAAAAAGGTCCACTAAGCCCAAAGAGAGAGGACCTGGGATATATAGCTCAGTGGCACAGTGCCTGCCTGGCAAATGTGAGGTCATAAGTTTGATTTTTAATAGGCTTCCAAGACAGAAAAGGCTTGGGAGAGTCCAAAGACAGAGGAATAGGCTTGAGACAAACAGGCTTGGGAGAAGCTAAAAACAGCAATATGCTTGAAAGACAGAGAAATAGGTTTAAGGGAAGCCAAAAGAAAAATTTGGCTTATTAATTTTAGCAGTTGTTAGATATGGGAAAAGCAAATTCTCAAGAACTACAAATGTATATGGAACTGTTTGTTAGATGCTTGATGTTAAGAGTTTTCTGGTGTAATAGAGAAGCAAAAACGTGGCCTTTGTATTGAGGACATGGAGAGGAGCCCACAACCCCTGGTATTTGGCTTTCTCCTCTGACCAGATATAGGAGTCTGACGGGTATATGTGACTTTTGATCAGAAGTGGCAGTAGGGGTGGGTATTTATGACTCATGAGAAACTGACTGGCATTTCCTTCTCATGCTTGGGGAAAGGAAGGAGGAAGTTATAATGAGGGTTGAAGAGGAAGAAGGAGGAAGTAGTCATCAGGATGTTTGTTTTACATTGGCTTTCCACTGTTTCACACCACCAGAATATCCTGTAATTTGTTCTAGGGCAAAAATCTTTGACCTGATTCCTGTATTTCCTTTTGTGGATTTTGATTAGAAAATATCTGCTTTCTTTGTTTTGTTTTGTTTGTTTGTTTTTGGTACCTGGGATTGAACTCATGACCTTGCACTTGCCACACAGGCACTTGTGCTGCTGAGCTAAATCCGCAGCCTGATTAGAAAATATCTTAATGATTGTAAGCTTGTTTAGACAATCACAAAGAAATTGACTTGGAGCAATATTTTAAAATCAATTTGCAGGAAAAAGATGGAGGAGCAACAGGAACTCTGATAAAGTTTAAGCCCTTTGGCTTTGCTCAATTAGATAAGGAGAAAGTGGTGGGGAATGTTAGGGTTTTCTAGCTCACTAGAAGCAAAAAGTAAAAAAAAAATGCAGAAGGCATTTACTGAGGACATGGAAAAGAGCACACAACTTTGACTGTAAACAGTGAGACACAGGGTTATATGATCTCTGAGGGAAGTGGTGCATGGGGTGGACATTGATGACTGGTATACCGTAGCGCCTCCGTACTGTTCTGTATGTGCCGTCACCCTGGCAACCTGTTCGCTGGGTTAACCTTTGTTCCCTTTGTGAAGGACAGTTGTTCCTGGAATCAGTCGACCTTGATTCCTCTAGACCTTTGTTCCCCTTTTGTGAAAGATAGTTGATACTAAAATTAGTAGACAAAGGGCTGTAAATTCTTGTAAAGAAAATGACTGACCACCAACTGTGAAACTTCTGTGTCCTCAAGCAAAGGGAAACAAAGGTCTTCTTCATTTACTTTGTGATTGTTCTTTCTATAAAAGTCTCTCAAAATTTTAAGCCAGTTACACAGTTTTGCAAACTCCAACTGCACTGTGTTGCTGGTGCCAGCTTAAATAAAAGTGCTCCTTTTTCTTTAAAAAGACATCTTGCCCCATTTTTGGACAACATTTTGGGGTACAACAATGACATGTGGGGAATTGATGGAATTTTCTTCATGTGCAAACAGGAAAGGGAGTTTCAACTAGGGCTGAACAAGATGGAGAAAGTGGTGTTTCCACTTTGGCCTTTCTCAGTGTCATAGCACTGTGATAATTGTACAGTAATTTATACCAGGGCAAGAATCTTTCAGGGGACAAAGGGGACCTTTCCCACTAGAGAAGTGTTTAACTGAACAATTTTTCCCATCTTTTCAGTGCAGAGGAATTTTGCTGAGTCACATATTAGAACTTTGCCTTCTCTCTCTCCCTTGCAAATGGAGCTAAAAGAAGCCACACAGGCAGGGGAGTACATGGAAGGTTTTCAGCAGATCTACCATGTTGCTGAACTTCCGGTCCCCAGTAGTCCAGGACAAGATATATGTCTTCATGAAGCAGTACCTGTTAAGTCACTAAAAGAATTAAAATAAGCTACAACTACCTATGGCCCCACAGCCCTATTTACCTTGGGTTTCATAGAGCTCTTAGGATAACAAATTATGGCCTCAAATGATTTGAAAGGAAGCTAAAGCATATTTAAGTCTGGGGGATTATTTTTTGTGGAAAGAAATTTTTTTTCCAAATTATGCACTGGATCAGGCCTCATACAGTGCTGCTCAAAACATAGCCATTGCAAAAGATATGTTAATCAGAGAAGGTACCTTTCCTGCCACTGCAACTGACATGCTTTAAAGTTGCAAATTTATGATCAACTTAGAATAGCAGCCACAAGAGTTTGGAGGGGACTTCCTTCAATGGGTGACACATCTGTGATTTGACCTTTATCCATCAGGGTCTAGATGAACGATTTCAGGATTTTGTCTTTAAGGATGCAAATAGATGGTGTAAGGCACATACGGCTTCCCTGGGGCAGCCCAGCTCTGCTTGGCTTGGTGTGCTGGGAGGTTACAAAGACCCAAACTGCAGAGCTGGTGTTTGCTTGTCACTGCAGATGGTGCAGTGTAGGAGCAAAACCCTGACTAGCCCTGTTTCCCACTGTCACAGAGCAAACTCCACCAGGATCTA